CGTGTCGGGCATGTCCTGTTGCAGGTTCCATTTGCTAGTCAGCGTAATCCCAGGAATGTTGTGATAGCAGATGATTGCTTTCAGTCAGTAAATTCTGGTGGTCGCATCAGTCAAGCGGTGATCAAAGCTGTGGAAAAGTTGTTTGGAAGTATGTGTTTGTAGTTTGTGCTTTCTTATGATAAACTTTTTCACACACCTTCTGAGAATCACCTCTTGCAGGACAAATCATAAGGCATGAGAATCTGGAAGCCTATCTAAACTCAAAAATTCCAAGCTTAAAACAGTTTGCTAGCAAAAAGTCCAATAGTGAAAGAAAATCTTCATCAACAAACTTGCTAGCATATGTTATGCATATACTTAAGAGGTGAGATTTAGCTTGATGCAACAGAGATCACTAGATGCACTTATTACTGGTGTGAAGCTTGGGGCACGTTATCTGATGGACGCTTGCAAAAGTAGTTGAACCTTTCTAATCTATTTTGTGCTAGTTTTTGCTATGTTATTAAAAGCATATATATTTGGGTCACCTGCTCTTTGCATGACTTGCTTGAAGAGGGTGGTGTATGGGTTCCTGTACACACTCTGATCTGTGATGAGAAGAAATTCTAATGTTCTGCCCTACTATTCCTCAACTATTTTTAAAGCATTCACATGTTACGCTTACGCATAAATGAACCTACCTGGTGTTTCTTTGAATGGGGTAATTCGTAGTGTATTATGGTGATAATGATGTTTTTTTGCAATGCCTTTAATTGGTTTTTATGGTTTGTGCAGACACGAGTTCAAACAAAATCATCTGGAGTGGATCAATGCTGCAAAGCCCAATCTGGACCCTGTTATTTCCGCACAAATTCAAGGAGGACCGGAGATCACAGATACAAATATTGAAAACTGTCATGCAGTTAGGAACGAATTGCGTTCAGCTCTAAATGATCTATTGAAAGTAAGTAGTATTGGTTTTCATTTAGTTAATTTTGCTTCTTATAATGGGTTGCCTGGTTTCTTTCCAACCCACCCCTTGAGTAAGTTGGTTCTTATAATGGGATTGCCTGATTTTTTCTCAACCTACCCCTTTATTTGGAGGACCAAACCTTTGAAAAATGCTTGTCCATGTGGATTATGAACTTCAGCTAGTACTTTATCACATGATACTGTTGAAATTTGAGAACAATTAAGACCCCCTTGTGGCCATTGATTGGTTAAAATTTCTAATGTTGCTTGTTTCCTTTGCATAAGGGATTTCATGGTAAATACATATATGCTGTTACTGCTTCATGTGGTTTTTTTTTTGATGGAATTTTACTTGAGAATAAAAGATTGAACATTGCATGTTTTAAATACCTGTTTTATATGGTAGAGTCTGTCATTTACCTGACTAATGCTCGACCTCAGCTCACTGGATAAAGTTCTCAGATCTTGCTGCTTTTATTTCTCTGCTAACGTTATGTTGAAGTAATCTTGCTGTAAATGATATCTTAATATCTCCTGTCTCACGCTGTCATCTCACTCTTGCTGAAATTCATTGTTTCTATAGGATGATGGAATTTTGGTTATCCCCACCGTTTCTGAACCTCCTCCGAAGATTGGTGCAAAGGAGATTCAGTCTGAGGACTACCAGATTAGGTCATGCTCATTTTCAAGCATAGCTAGCATGTCAGGTGGCTGTCAGGTGAATGGCTTTCTCTCTTGTGCCTCTGTACCCCAAACCCACAAATTTAAATTGGTCTTGGGTACAGTTGAGTGTTGAATCAGACTTATCTAATGCTATGTGCTTCCGTGCCGTAGGTCTGCGTACCAATGGGATTTCATGATAAATGCCCAACTTCTGTGTCTTTCGTGGTGAGGCAGGGGGGTGACCGATTTTTGCTCGACACTATTCAGAGCATGTATGCGTCAATCCAGGAACAGGCAGAAGTGGCCACAAAATCATCAACATCTGGTAATGCCATCAGCAAGGAAGCATCTGCTGAAATGGCTAAAGAAAAGGTAATCGAAGGATAACCTGCTGTGGATCTTTAGAGGGACATTGCTGTCAATTTCTTAAATGTAGAGTGGTTGTAAGCTATAACCATCGGTTGGCTTTATCTGCTCTACTTACTAAATGTGCCAGGGATCAATTCTCTTTGTTCTTTGTATGACGTTTCTTATTGGAGCTCGTCACTTCTTGCATTTGTCCTGAACCCTCCCACTTTTTAGACATCAGGCCTTTTATGGTGTACAATATGCTTGATACTTATAGAAAGTGATTTGCATTTGCATGATGCCCATACATTTTTTTCTTTCAATTTCAGAACTGAAACTGTTCGCAGTCCCATTAGCACCCTATGTCAGTTACATGGTTCATCCTACCACTTCATTGCCAACCTCAACTAGAGGAACATTAGCAAATTAGTGCTATGTATCCTATCTAACAGACTTCTTGAAAGGAATAAGGTGATGTGACCAAGTTTCTTCAGCCCTGACCTATGTTGCTCGGACTCTCCGAAAATATCGCCGGGTGCGTGTCGGATTCTCCAAAAGCAATGTATTTTTGGAGAATCCGACACGGGTGCGGCAGTATTTTGGAGAGTCCGCGTAACATAGGCCCTGACAGGCTTTGAAAAATTATAATATGGAGTCATAAGCCAAATAGTGAGAGTTCTGTGATATAAGCTGGAACAATTCCGAGCCCAGCAATCAGAGCTTGATTGACAAAATTTGGAAAAGCACTAGATCTCAGGAGCGAGAAAGTTGAGTTGTTTAGTGAAAGTGACAAGCTGGCTATTCTGCTAATGCACCTTCAGTATTGCTTTGTTCTGTCATTTTGTTGGTTATTTGGGAGCTCCCTTAATATAAGATTTGGTCCTTATACTATATGGTTTTTTCACAGGGTAACCAGGCCTACAAAGATAAACAGTGGCAGAAAGCCATTGGCTTCTACACAGAGGCTATCAAACTCAATGGTAATACTGCCACATACTTTAGCAACAGGGCTGCAGCTTATTTGGAGATGCGAAAGTAATTCTTTTATCCATTTTCCCCTTTTTCTATAGCCGTGCTTGTCAAATGCGTATTCTCTAATTTAAATCTCCTTCCAGTTTCATCCAGGCTGAAGCAGATAGTAGTAAAGCTATTGATCTTGATAAGAAGGTGCACTTTCCTACCTCACCAACTCCTGCGTGTTTAGCTAGTATACGTTTCAGTCTAATCCATTTTAACCTAGTAAACCTCTATTTGTTTTCTTATGTGGCCTTTATTTCTTCAGCATATCATGTGATTGAGTGTTATAGTTCATTTTAGAAATTCTGTTGCTTTAGTGATGCTGGAAAAGGATGTTGTGAGGTAGAGACAGAGTTAAAAATTGGTTGACTTTTTGGCTTATGTTTTGTGGGTATGGGGGATTTTAGAGGTAGAGTTTGGGTACTGCATGCGAGGTTTATTAGTGGACTTGTGTATCTACATTTTATAGGAAAGGGTCAACTAGCTGAAGCTGGTAATGCCATATAAATATATCTCCCTTTTTAAGCTTGTGATTCCATTTGCTTTATATCGTGATCACGTTTCTTATGCTTTTCTGAGGAGAGCATTCTTTCTCTTTCTTTCCCCGCAGAATGTGAAAGCGTACTTAAGAAGGGGCACAGCACGGGAAATGCTGGGCTACTATAAAGAGGCAATTGAAGGTGAGTCTCAATAACTTAAGCTGTTAATTCCTTCATAAGTAAACTTTACGGTTGAATCACCTGAGCCACATGCTTCCACATTTAGTATGCTGTGAAGAAAAGTACTCTAAGATGGTCTGTCATATGTCCACTTCAACTTGGACTAAATACTTGATGCACTTTAGTTGGAAACTGAAGAAGAAAAGCATGTGCTAAAAGATTTAGTTGGTTTGATAGATATTGTGCCCAATCTTTGGAGATCGAGGTGCTTGCGTAACTGATGACCGGAACTCATAAATGACCTGTCCATCCTAAAACTTTTGAAATATACTTTGCAGTGTTCTCTTACATTCTCTAGTTTCCTTGTGCAGATTTCAGATATGCACTGGTTCTTGAGCCAACCAACAAAAGAGCATCTCAGTCTGCTGACAGGCTGAAGAAGTTGTTTCCATAGGTCTTTAGAAGGTAAACAGCTTTAGCTGCTTGTTGTTGCTGAACCCTTTGTGTCAAAGCGGGTGATCTCAGCAGGAGTATGAAGTATTGAAAGATTGAAAATACGAGGAAATGAAGGCTTGCGATGAAATTCTTTCTTTTACTTAGTAATTTGAAGATGAGGAGCAATTTGAAGATGAGGAGCAACCCCTTGATCTCGGCATAGTTTGGTGGCTTTAGTTTATAATATACTAGCGATTGCGAGTCTAGTGCAATTTTGTTTAGATTATTTGCATTCAAATTGTACCTCTCGAGCTCTTTATCTTTTTGACATAACCAAATTATATTATTGGAATGAATATTATTCTGAAGGACGGAAATACGGAATTCCTAATAAAGGTACTCCTGGGGTTATGCATGGGAAGCAAAGTGATCCTCTCATTCAAAGAACTTCTAGTTCCATATATTGTGTTTAATGTGTGCTGAAAATCTACCCTTTGGGATTTTGGATAGAAGAACGAGGTCTTCAGAAAATAAAAGTGTTCAGTCGGGTGTTGCAAAATGAATGGTTATAGGACGTGAGCCTTGCTGAGCTCTCTAGGCTACATTTATTCGGCTTAAAGAAAAACATGCTTTATTTCATGTTTACCGTTGTAAAGCTCTGCAGAAACGTGTGGATGTGCATTCGTCACTGGCACCAGCATTATAAGGCTTGATGTAGGATCACTATTATAAAGGACAGTGAACCACCAACATTGACGACCCCACAGCTTACTAAATCTGGGCAGCCGGTTCTTTTTTGGAAGCTCGACCAGCAGTTGAATCACTACTAGATTCAATTTTCTGTCGAGTATCTTTGAGAACGGATTTACCACCAAATTAATACCAGTAATGATTATGATGGAGACTGATGATATATGGACATCAAAATAGTATAAAAGGACTTTATTACACATTCCAGAAAGCTTGAAAACTGGTGATTAAAATGATGCAGGAATAGGGATATCAAAGTAGAAAGGATTTGATCACACTTTACACGAATATAAGGGATTTCTTTCAGCGTTAACTGGAAACTAAACCAAAGTGAACAAAAAAATTTAGAGTAAGGAACATTCATCATCCTCGCTGGCAAACAGTTCGTCAAGCTGTTCATCTGTCCACTGAAGCTGTGACACCTTCGACACAATTGGCTGTTTGTAATCCTTAACTTCATCAACTATCTGAATTTCTGGATCAAAGCGGTTCTTTATTGAACCAGCTCTTTTGTTCCCCGGCGAGAGGGAACCCGGAAAATTCTCTCCCATTTGCTGATTATTGTTTTTGTGGAGAATCCCTCTGTTTCTGTCTGTTCCTTCAAATTCTTTGGCAGCACTTTGTATCTGATTGTGACATTCTTTGTCTACAATGGATGTCTCCTTAAAGGCTCTAATTTTGTTGCAAATGTAACTACTTGGAACTAGATTTTCCTTGTCTATTTGAATCTCCTTATGCAAACTTCCACCTGCAGACATGCATTCTGTGGTCCTATCATCTATGATTTCTTCAATTGTTTCTTTATGTGGGATGGAAATCTTCTGCAGTGCACAAGCTTTTCTAGCAGAGGCTGAAGCTGCTAAGTTTATATGAAAATCATTAGCCAGGTGAAATACTAGAAACCGTGCTCATATTCCATTGATAGAGCTACTGTCAAAAGAAAATCCTCCTAATATACAGACCTGACATAGTAGAATAAAAAGAAATATCAACCCTCACCAATTTCAGGATCACTATGGTTGACTTCATATGCTGCTTTGCTGTGCATTGATGGAGGGGGTCTTTCCTTGCAGAAAACCTAAAGGTATGGAACTTGAAGCTCTTAATAGGTGTACTCAAAGCTTTATCAATCATGACACAAGTTTTTAATAAGTCAATCATGATACAAGATGCTAACTGCTAGTGGTCATAAGAGGCTAGTGAGTGTGCATAAGAGGCTAACAGCTAAGTGCTCACCATACAATACCAGATTAGAAAATACAAGAGAAAGAATACCAACTAACAGAATCTTCATCTGATAGTCTTAAGGGCAAGTGAAGAGGGGTTTGGGGGGTTTGGGGGGGGGGGGGGTTAGGGGTTACACTAGTAAAGTAA